TTAAAAAGGAGTGGTTTGGTAAAAGAGGATGGAGTTTGCATTCTATTTTAGTTTTGACTAAAACACAAAATTCAATAATTGAAGTACAAGCATTTGACCATTAGTCAAATGATACTAGGCAAGATGTCTGGTTTACGGCATCTTCTTTTGATGTTGTCTTTAAAGTTTTAGACCCAAAACCAGAATGAATCAAAATATTTTCTGATAATAGGTCTCATTATTATTGTTCAGAAATAATGGCAATCGTGGCTAACTAGAATCAATGGTATAATTTTGAAGTCCGTGGATGGTATTTCTTTGAACCAGATGAAGCAAAATCTATAGTTAACTCCCATCATGCAACAGTAAGTATAATTAGATATTTTAATTTGACGTTGTTAAATTATATCACTAGTATACAACACCACAGAAATTCTAATATAAACTCTAAAATATTAATGTTTGATACATTATATAATTTACAGATTTCTCATGCAATTAAACATTACCTTTGAATTGGCAACAATATTGATTCTGGAGAAAAAATTAGTTTAGCTATTGAAAATTTACAAGGAACATCAGTTGCACATATTGAACCTTGTAGAGATTATGTGGCTGTAAAAACAATGAATAAAATATCAGAATTATTCTATTGAGAATGGCCAATTACTGAAGAGTTCTCCAGATTTGTACAAGGACAAGCATTACCAAATATTGAAAAGTAAATTCAATTTTTTCCTAAAGATTTAACGAGATTAGTTGAACGTCCAATACATAGGCCTACTTCAATTGTATCAGACAATTCTCAACCCAAAAAGCCTTGAACTATACCTGTTCCAGATAATAATAATATGCTTATTGGATCACTATTTTATTTAAAAAGAATGAATTTAATTTTGTTTGCTTTTAGTAATATGCCAAATGAATAATAACAATATGGGTATGAATTAAAGTTGTGTATTTTAGATAGTGTTCGAATCTGTTGAACTTTCTATCCAGATAATGTTTTCATTCAACAAATAGTTTATCTGAATAATGTATATTACTCAGATAATTATCTAAATAATAGAATTATGAACAGATATAGATATCGTATAATGTGTTTATTCAAAATATAATATCTTTAGATAAACAGATTATCCATATCTAAACACTAATTTTAGATCTTAAGATGAATATGTTAAAATGTATTACATTTAGATAATCAAATCCAACTCGAAGAATCAGCAGCAATATCGGATTTTCCTTTGAAAATCGGGTGGGCTCTATTAAGTAATCAAAAATTGGGAAAACGAGGATCAGGAAAACGGATATCAGAAACTATCAAAAAATATTTGGAAGCATTTTTTGTAGCAGATGATCAAAATAAAAATAAGCGAATGACAGGTGCAGAGATGGTAGAAGAATTGAATAAGTTAGTCGCTGAAAGAGAAATTGATGATGAAGAGGTGCTACAAGTAAAGACTGTAAACTCATGGATCAATTGAACATCTGCTGCAAGATGAAAAAAAATTGATGAAATTCAATCAAATAGAGAAGAAACTAATAAATCTAATAGTTCAACTATACCTTGCAATAATAAAAAGCAAGATAAAAATATCTACCATGAAATTTCTGAAGTAGAATCAAGAAATTTGGAGTGTAACTCTAAAGCGATTGTATCTCGAAAGTTAAAAAAACACAAGACATCATAAAAATTTGATATATCAGAATTTAGGATAATTTCACTTAGAATCAAATAAAAGGCATGAAGAAAATTTTATTTGAAATAGTTTGAATAACTATAATACTTTCATTACAGTGAAATAATCTGTTCCATTAATAAATTTTTTTTAAAATTCGCTATAATGAGAGCTTTATTAGTAAATTCACTATATTATATACAGTATACTGGCTTTGAGCTTAATTTCACTATATTGAGACTTCAATTAGTTTACTATATCGAGAGTCACTATAACAAAAGTAACTTGTAGCCCAAAAATAAAATTTTGGTTCTTTTCTCTGATCATTATGTTCATTAAGGTCATGTATTTTAAATACCAGAGTGAATTTAAGATCCAATTATTAATTAGATCAGTGTGCAGATTATGCTATTATATGATATGCTATATATAAGTACTATACAGTACATATGTATATATGTACAATTATATATAAGAAAAGCCTGTTTATATTATTGGATGTGCAAGTATTACTATAACAGCAGAACGATAAGAAAAATCAACTAATAGTTTCCTACCTATTCAACTATTAAATAGAGTGGGTCGAGAGATGTGTTGTAAAAAATCGATATATAAACCATAAGAATTTGAAGCAAAAGGAACTTGAATCAGAATAAGCTAAATAATTTTTGATACAAATTATTTTACTAATCTAATAAATTTTACTAGATTTGACCAAGTTTTTGTTGAGTTATATTTGTTTAAAATTTAAAAAAGTTTTATTAAAAAAGATT